AGCATATAGCATATCTAAGTACAGTAAAGGAGGAAGCTGATCGATGCTTGCTCAACTGTTATTGGAGCACAGAGCAAAAAGGGGGCGGGACTAAGGAAGGGTCTGCTTCTGGAGGAAAGAAGGGGAGACTCGTGCTTTAAGGCTTGAGTTACATTACATCATTAAAATAAAAAAAAATCTCAGTTGTAGTTTAAGAAAAGTCTCACAAAACCACGGATAAATGAAAGTGACATTACATCTAAAGGATTGCGCCTGAAATCCTCGTCGTTGTTGCTATCCGTCCATCTAGCAGAGCGTGATGTCATCGACTGAGCAGGTAAGGTGACGTAACGCGACATTAAGGAGGACAGGTGGGACCTGTGAACGCTGTACGCGTGCCGGCTTTAGTGTTTTCCCAAGCTTTAAACACAGATGGAATATAAAAATGCTGGAACTTCCCAGTGTGACCTTGCTACAGGGCACCAGTGAGGCACATGAGGACGAGCACGTGAATTGTGAGCAAATAGGCCAGAAAGAAATATCGAGAGCGGGCGCGGCTCGTCAGAAGCCTGGAGAAGTAGAGGCTCCGCCCTCTGATCCACCGTCGGCACGCCACCATGCCGCCTTTCACCTGCAGGCACAAACACGGTCAGATAAACAGCCTCCACATCAGGATACAATACAATTTTAGTCGTCACTAGGGTAGCTTTAGTTTATTTCCCAGGTTGGTTTTCTTGTCCTGAACCACTGACAGGGACAAGGAAACAGTGAAGTTGTCAAAAAGAAGCCTATTAAGTCTGTAGTGATAGTAAGTAAATACATAATACAGACAGAATGTCATTGTACAGTTTTTAAAGTCCACTATGAAAATCCCATGAAAATGATGGTCAGTATGTCAGCTTCTGCTTTAAAGGAAAAGTTGGAATATGATTAGGAATTTCAGATCTTCATACATTTTTGATACACCACATATTCTGAACTGTTAAAATATTGATTCGAACATAAAAATAGAAAAATTATTATCTGTTGCTTTTTTTGGTCGAGTATTGTCACAATTAAATATCGGATGATACAGAAATGGCTGTATCTTAAAAACTGTAAGGAGTTGTATCAAATGTTCAGTATCACTGGATTCAGAACAACTTCAGCTTCAACTCTGACTACTCTACTGGACTCTACTGGACCGAGACCAAACGCAGCTCAGTAATAGTTGTTAGTCATAAATGGGTTAATTAAAAGAATAAAGACTAAATGGATGAAAAAATGAATAAAGTCTGTTATGTACCTTCCGTGTTATTAGAGGCTGGTTTGGGTTGAGACTGAGAGCTTCCCACTCTTCCTCTGTTTCCATCTCGATACTGAAGTCTCTCTGACCGTCTCTGGACGCGCTGGAACCAACACTGCAAGACAAAGATCTTTTAAAAAGGATCTGCACTGTTGGATGTGTGTGTGTGTGTGAGAGAGAGAGATAGCTGACTGAAGTTGGGTCTCACCTCTGTGCTCTGTCCTCAGAGAGACGCAGAGCCTCCTCAGCTGTCTCTCTCCTGGCTCTCTCATCTGCCAGACTCTGCTCCACCTCGAGCAGCCTGAAGAACAAACAAACAAACACGTTAATAAAACCAGGAGCTCAACCATTTATTCAAATAAACATCTGTAAGAGAGCAGAACTACACAGAAGATCTCGTCTCTTCACCTTTCTTGGAGCTGAGCGGCTTCAGCAGTTTCAGCACTCATGGAGTTGTTGCTCCTCTCCTGGGGGGCTCCAGGTGCAACCTCAGCATATACTGACCCCTGGTGGCAGAGATAAAGCAGTACAGGTAAACAGAGGGAAGAATGTATTTGTTTTAAGATTGTTTTTAAAGCATTGTTTAACTTTATAACAGATAGAAAACAAAAGGAGAGGCAGAGTGTGAGGAGCAGAGTTATGCAGATGGAACTCTTCACTTTCAGGGTTTCTTCTGACAGATCTGCTTATATCAGTTTAATACCACAAGGACACATTTTGCATAAGTGGAATAATAATATAAAAGCTGCGTCGAGAGTCGTTGAAGTGACTAAATCAAATAAGAAAAGCATTCAAACACACCACAGTGCGACTCAGTTAATAAGGACAAAACTCTCATAAATAATAAATAATCTGAATAAAATAAACTGATGTCAGAATAAATATGGATAGAAGAACCAGAACCGGAACCAGAACC